TCCATTTCCACTAAGGAAAATTTTTCACAGAAAAAAAATATTTTCAAAATGTGATTGGTCAACACAATCTCCGTTGGAAAAAATTTTGAGGTTGAAAATTTTCAACTTTTACAATGATATTTTCGGAACATTTTCTGTCCGTGGAAATTTTTCTTGAGTGGAAATGAGCCCTAACAAGACAGCTACAGATCGAGAGAAATACGAGCCGTTCCCAACGAAAGGCCTTCGCTCGGGCCTTCGCTCGAAACGTTGAAGTTCTTCTTATTGTTTTCAGTTACTGTATATCTCTCTCAATCCAGTCTGGTAGCAGTTTGAAAATACACTGTCGTCTTTTGTTTCTGAAGGGGAACACGGGTCGCTGATGTGGTAATAAACCAAAACTACCCCTTACAAGGCAGCAGTCAGAGGCGCCTTACTAAGCTTTTGATTCGAACATATTTGAGCAGTGTTCTTTTGTAATTCAGCTCTCTGTATGTAAAGATATTTATCAGTCGCCCTATACTATACCTGTGTTCACTGAAGACGGAGTTCTCCAGAACAATTTTCTCGAGAAGTTCGATCAATTCATTTGGCAAGTCTGCAGTCATAAACGCCTTCACAGTACACGACACGTCCTCAGGATCTTGAGTTTCAGACAACGCGGTCTGCACGACTTGATCAATAAGCTGTCTTCGGAATGGGTTGTCCTCCAAGAGAACATTGGCCCAAAGATCTGGGTCACGACGGCGTACGAGATATCTGGCTTCGCTTTTGAATAAAGAATTCTCATTGCAAACCTGCAACGTATGGAGTAGAGTCGAGGTTATATTCATAATGCATGTTTAAGCCGTCTAATGGTGGGTAGTAAGTGTTACAGAGCAGCAGATACTGGTCATGGTTTTTGGAATTTGGAGCAAGAAAATTAAACTACATTTCTCAATTCTATTTATTTGCCACCAAATACAACACTACCACATAGAATGAAAAGAATGAACATTATTTTCTCCCTCTGATAACTGCAGGTTGACCATCATCTGCTGCACGATAATGCTTCGTGAAACTGTTAATGTTTCAAAAAATTCAAAAAAGAAGACCCTGAGATCAGTGACTTACGTTAATTAATTCCATATCACACTGTCCACGTTCATACGCGACACACGCGAGATGCGGGTCACGTTTCTCGCAGTACTTGCCAACGACCTTGCTGTCGTAGAATGGGTTTTCTCTACAAGAAGAGAACCACGTTAGCTAGAGGTACGTTTAAAGATTATGACTGTCCTTACTCATCTTAAACATCGCAACTTTTCTCTGGGTCATCCGGTTTCCTCCAGCAGTAACACTGGATAAATAAGAGATGATCCTTACTGGACCTCTAGGGAGAACAGTTTAGAACTGATATAGCTATCCAGTATAAATAAAGTTAGTTTAGTTTAGGTTTCCTCCAGCAGTAACACTGGATCAATAAGAGATGATCCTTACTGGACCTCTAGGAAGAACAGTTTAGAACTGATAGAGTTATCCAGTATAAATAAAGTTAGTTTAGTTTAGGTTTCCTCCAGCAGTAACACTGGATCAATAAGAGATGATCCTTACTGGACCTTTAGGAAGAACAGTTTAGAACTGATAGAGCTATCCAGTATAAATGAAGACATGAAGTTAGTTTGGTTCCCTTCTGTAGCAACACTGAAATCGCTGTACTCACCTAAGGAATCGTTCAGGGTTGTTATTTGAATCGATGTAAATCTTTGCCAGTGCATTGTGGGTAGCAGGTTCTTCTGAGCCTTCATGCACACGAGCTTCAAGCAGCGGTAACAGCAGTTTCAAGCGGTTTCGTTTCTCCACTTCTTCAACAAGTTCATCAGTCGAGAATTGACCTCGTACGACCAGGATAAGATTCTTGATAATATCTTCAGAACAATCAACGTCCAAGAGACCTCCGACCACAACAGGAACTCGAGATGGATTCACCTGAAAGTATATCCACAAGGGTTAGTGCCAGGACTGAAAATATATTTTATAGGGCTGTCTGACAAAATGTCCGATGACTTTGAGTGGGATATACAGAATGTATGATGGTGTCCGATGACCTTCAGTTCAGTTTGGCTGGGAAATAAGTCTGAATGACACAAATTAATATCAGCACAATATATTAATTCTGAAGTAACTGTTGTGAAGATATTAAATGATTATTGTCATTCATATTTATTTCCAAGCCAAGATTAGCTTGCTTGCCAATAATAGCAGTACGACTTAAAAACAACATTTCCGGTTCATTTTTATACAATACTCTGGTTCTCCATTTATAAAATGGGTACATTTTGATTTACGTGCGTGGAGAAAGGGTCGGACAAAGCTACAGTTCGGTCGGACACCAATACACTCGGGTCGGACAAAGAATAAACCTCATTTTCACTTAGATCGGACAAAATGTCCGGTGGTTTCCTCTCTACGTCGGACAATTTGACGAATGGATCGGACAATGTCCGTGACCAACCGATAAATCAAGGCCTGGTTAGTGCATGAGCCTTTAGTGCATGAGCCTTTCACCTCTTTCACCAGGGTTCCACTCCTGTAATATACAGTTGTCTCATTATAATTTCACCTCAGTCACATGTGAGAAGAGTGCTTCCAGTTTAACTGTGCGAAACAACGCAAGTTTTCTCCGAGTACTCTGCTTTCCTCCTGTAGTAACACTGAATCAATTAGAAGTAACCCTAACTGGACCTCTAGGAGAACAGTAATAGAGCTATCCAGTGATAGAGCTACCCAGTATAAATAAAGTTAGTTTAGTCACACTGTGGTTTAGTTTAGGTTTCCTACTGTAGTAACACTGGATCAATAGGAAAACAGTTTGGAGCTGATAGGCTATCCAGTACAAAGTTAGCTCGCCTTAATGCAAAATTGAAGATATTAAAACTCACCTTCTGGATATAAATTTCAATATATTTCTGCAGATTATTTCTGTACAGGTACAAGACTAGATCGTGGACGAAATCAAAGCGGTCACAAACAATGATCAATGGCAGTTGATCTGTCAACTTTGCTTCCTTGAGGAAGTTCTTCACTCTCTCTGGATCATAAACGTTGCTTTCGCGACAGATTCGCTCAACCTCCTTGATCTGTCCAGTCTTACACGCGGCCTGAAAAGATAATTTCAGACATTGTTAACACTCGAGGTATAAGGGACGGACCATTATTTTTTTGGAGGATGGACATTTCGTTAATGCAAACAATTTTTTTTGGTGCTATTGTCGTTGCAAACAATTTTTTTGCGCCTGCTTCCTTCTGCAAACAATTTTTTTGTCCACCTGATTGCTGTGAATTTCATTATAAATTGATATATATATAGTTTAATTTGTGCCCGATTACACTATTGCATGTGTGATCAGGGCCGTAGGAAGCTCTTTTCGATTGGGGGGGGGGGGCTGAAAGCGGGGACCGAAGACCCGAGGAAATTTTTAAATTTAGAGTCTCTGAAATGCCATTTCCTGGACTTTGGGGAAGATTTGACAGAATTCTGATGGTCAGAAAACAGCGAAATTTACAATTCTGTAGTACTAAACTTTATATTGGATAAGTTGCAGGAAAGTATGGGTAATATCTTCATTCTTTGCAGTTTGTCATGAATTAAATGATAAAGGTCTGCATGATTTTGAAAAATGAATAATTATTAGCAAATTGTTGTGGGGGCTGCAGCCGCCCCGCCCCCGGTTGCTACGGCGCTGGTGATCGAACAACATGTGGTGTTGTCAGAAGTATAAATTTAATATGTAAACAGACATTTAATAGTTTTTTTGGTATACTGGTCCGGGCCTTTTTTAAAGATTTTCCCGTGTGAGGGGGGGGGGACCTTTCTGTGAGATAATATATTAGAGGAGGATAGGAATGGCTGACGGCAACGTGGTCTGGGGGCATATTTTCCCCGAAATTTTTTGAAATTTGAAGCCCTGAAATGCCATTTCCTGTATTCTGAGCATTTAAATTTGCTCTAAAATTTATGCTAAGTATACTTGTATTTGAAATAAAAGAAGGAAAAAATGCACAAAAAATAAAAAATTATTAACAATAATTTATCATCATTACTTAGTGCCAGGTAGAAAAACGTAACAATTTAAATCGATTTTGTTAAACAAGGAGAAAGGATAAAGCCTAAAACTTACTTTTTGTTTATCAATTTGTAATTTTTCGCTGGTTTGTTTGTGTAAATTTAGGAAAAAGGGAAATGAAAAGGAAAATGTGATTTCGTGAGGGGGGCATAAGGCAGACATCCCCCCACCGCTTGTATGTTAAAAAAGGCCGATACTGGTCCTCTCATTATTTACGCTACACAATGTCTTACACCAGTACTTGTCCAATTACCTATTTTATACAAAAAATACCAAAAAATACAACCCCCCCTCCCAAGAAATGACTGTATTAAATAGATTAATATTTAACCCATATGTAGATTGCAACATGTGCCAACGTGTCCCATCCCAGGGCTTTGGAGTGAAGACCTTGGGTATGTTGGTGAGCACTCTGTTCATTGTCATTAACCTTGGTTGATGTTGCATAATCTCATTAGCTTGCAAACTATTTTTTCCTCTTTTCTATGTGTGCAAACAATTTATTTGCACTTTTTTGTCTTTGTAAACAATTTTTTTAAAGAATTTTTCATCCCCCCCCTCCAAAAAAATAATGGTCCGTCCCTAATCTGTATGTCAAAGTAGCCTGCAATCAACAACATGCACTACCTCTGTATAATCAATCCAATCGTACACAAAGATAAAATTAAGCCAACCTGAATGTACTTGAAGTGGACCTCTGCATCTTGACTGAAATTCACAATTGATCCAAGGAAGTAGAATAATCCTAAATAAAAATATTGTCAAGGTAACTTCCAGTATCGCGAGCATCGCAATCGTCAGAACGCGCGCCTTTCTCCTCTGAGACCCTGGGTTCGGTTCTCCTTGCGGACTCAAAACATTCATGTCAGAAAAAAGTTCGTCAACGCTCTACTGAAAGTCGTGGGTTTTCTCTGGGTACTCAGGTTTCCTCCCACAGAGATTGGGTTGGGATTAGGCACCTATAACTCAGGGGTGGATCCAGCAAAGTTTTTCTAGGGGGGGATGCTGGTCAAGGCCCCTATTAAAAAAAATTTTCCGGACAGCAACTCCCCAAAAATAAAATTTCCGGACTAGTACTGTATAAATGGTTTTCCGTCACTTTCTCTCAATTTGCCATACCAAATTTCGAAAATTTTGTGAGCTTCAGTTTCACTTCAAAAAAGGAAAACCTTGGAAATTATGCCATATTTCTGAATTTGATTTTTTTGCACCCCCCTTGCACCCCTATGTACCAAGGCCAACAGGGGTGCGCACCCCTGTGCACCTCCCTATAAATCCACCCCTGCTATAACTGACCCTTCCGCCGTAGCTGTGCTCCCCTGGTCAGACAGGAGTCATAAGGTGGCTGCCAGAGCCAACACCGCGGAAAAACGTCTGCGCATGCGTCAACCTTACCTGTAATAGTATTGCGAACTTGATGAGAAGCTGTTCCGAACGTTTCCGAAGGCTCAAAATGGCGGTAAAAAGGAGTGACTTCATTGTGCGTCTTTACAGCCAGATTTCGAGCGCAAAAATAAACATGTCATTCCAAAAACTAGGAATAAATACAGCCAGAAGGTTCAAGAAATTGTATTGTACAAGAACATGAACTAAAGGTGATTGTTGACAAATTTATCGTCTGAAACATTTTGTTTATCAACTAAGCAACGACAATTTCCGAATTTTCGTTTGAGATACATTTCTTTAAAAAAAACTGTGTCGCCAAATATAAAAAATTTTCGTGTTCACAATAATTAAACTTTAGGATTTATTCTACAATTTGAGTGGGTTAAGAAGCTTAACTTTTTAGTTTGAATTTTTGTTTTGAATAATTTTGCAAAAATTTTCGAAGTCGTGTCCGTTAAAATCAACCATTTTTTGCATGAATTATATTTCATTCCATACTTTAAATGTCAGGACGCTTTCAATTAATGTCTAATCTACCCATTTGCTATATTTTCTCGTTTGTTTTACTAATTTTTGACCAATTAATAAGCATGTTTTTGTTTTAGAAATTGATATTCAAATTCCCCGCCATATTTTCATAATTTGGTGCATGCGCAGACGTTTTTCCGCGGTGTTGCCAGAGCCATCCTTAGAACACTCCCATTTACTTACACTTTCTTACAGGTAGAGCTGTCTAGTATAAAATTAGTCTCATCTTTTAGTTTCGGCAAGTGTCACCTACCTTCAAAGCTCTTGAACGACTCAAAGACCTCAATAAGTTGCGCTGTTCCAAGCTGTTCGTGATATTTCGTGGCGACTTGGACACAAATTTGAAGATTTTGTCGAATGTTGTTCGTCAACATGGCTTTCAAACACTCCATAGAGTCCTCGATTGATAATGTTCCGAAGTAGTTGACCAACCACTAGGATTGAAAATGATATGCTATCATCAAATGACAATATGCATTATGGTTTTTAGGGATTTAACTCGTCAGTAGCTCGAATTATACTGGAGACGACCAGTTGAAGAGTTTTCAAACAGTTTAATAAAAATATAGGAACTGGAAATGAATGTACTGTAGTACCTCAGGATTCAGCAGATGTGTGTGAACAATCGCTCTCTTGATGTCAAAAATATCCGTGTAATGCTCCAGAGCCTAAAACGAAAATAAGGCACCATTTTTTCTCGTGTCAGAATAGCCCTTGTATTATGTTTGAATTAAATACATTGTTATACGAAATATCCCTGGCAATAAGAGACGCATACTACCATAACAGTTTGTGTACATAATATAAGTATTGTGATTACCCGTTGTAACAGTCCAGCATTCTCACAGAGTTGCGCAATATGAGCTTTATCATAATGAGTGAACATTTGGTTGCCAAGGATGGCGTCAGCTACCTGTAGTCAAGGAAATGAAATGTTAAATGCACTATATAAGCCGCATCTACAAACATACGTAAAACATTTCGTCTCAGATATTGTATGTTAGTTTTCATGCCAATGTTGGCGTCAAACGAAAGATGGTGTTTAGTTTGTTTCATCATCGACAAAATTTGAGGCGTAGAGACAACAGACAACTTGCATGCTAGACTAATTTTTGATATAGGAAAAATAAGGTAAATTCCCGTAAAGAACTTAATATTAAAATCAGTAAAACTGCAAAATTTGGTTACGAAATGTTGTAAAATACAGAAAATATAGCCTTGCGAAGTTTGCATATTTTCAGACGTTTGCATATTTTATATTACGTGCGGAAATTGTTACCATTTTTGAGTCGAAAATGGTAACAATTTCCGCACGTAATACAAATATACTGAAAATATGCAAACTTCGCAAGGCTGTATTTTCTGTATTTTACAACAATTCGGAACCAAATTTTGCAATGTCACTAATTTCATTATTTTCTTTTTAACTGTTGTGTTTTATTCCCTTCTCTTTACTTAGATTAAAATTTAGTCTAACATGCAAGTTGTCCATTAGTACAGACAATTAGTAACACAACACAACACAACACAACACAACACAACGCAACGCAACGCAACACAACACAAACCTGTGGTGCTGTAAGAAGATTCATTTCTAACAAACGTGTTTGCAGATGGGCTTCATTGGGACGGTTGTTCTTCAGAGCATCAAGAAGGAATGACGTACAAGGTTGAACCTGATTGGTCTCCATAAACACATCCACGACCTGAAATGTCACACGTAGTTGTATGTTAGTTGTTTCACGTGATTTCTTATCATCACGTAACATGGGAATACATGACTGCAAAGTAAAATTGAAGCCAAGAATATTCCAGCGGTTACCCCCATTTGAACAGATGGCGGCCATGTTGGAGTTTCCCACTCGCTAATAAACGTTTAAAAACAACAATAACTTTCATCATTTGAATAGTTTGAAAATGTATTTGGAATAGGTTTAACTTAATGTTTAAGTTCCCTGTTTAAGAAATAGAAAACATACGAGTCTTCTCATTTCATGGGAATATCCTGAGTCTGCAATCACGGCTTCAATTTTTGAATTGCAGAATAATTAGATGCACTATCTATAATAGTGTATATATAAGATATCTATGCTTGAACGTAGTTATGTTTCTAATGAGCAAACACGGTATTTGAGTACTCATCCAAGGACCAATGCTAAAAAACACAATTACAGAGAGAGAAAAACACCCAACGAAGGGCATTCGCTCGAAACGTCGAAGTTCTCCTTGTATTTTTCAGGCAGTTGAAATCCATCACAATTTTCTGGTGGTTTTGGTACTACCTCACTTGGCACAGATCGTTCGACTAAAATATGCTCGTATTTTACCTGACTGAGATCTGCCAAAGGTTCGCCTTCCTCTTGAACCAACATGGTTGCAAACTGACCACCTTGCTCAGGGTTCACTCTCATTACACTTCGTAGCAGGAAGATGTAGTCGGGAGTGAAACCAACTTTCTTTGCGTACAAAATGATCTTCTGAAATTGTCCTGTTTCAGCAAAACATTGAATCACCTGGAAAAACAATAGTATAGTCAGGTTGGCTGCTTTCCTTTACAACTAAAACGTTGGGTTGATCTGTCACAGTGGTTAGTATGCACTGTTGCCTCTGTGGTTCAATGCAGTTGTCTGATTATAATTTCACCTCAGTGTGTGACCGGTTTCATCCTGTTGTTATACAGAACAAATAAGGAATAGCTCTTACAGTACTAGACCTCTAGGGAGCTATCCAGTATATAAATAACCTTTGTAAACTTACCTTGTTAGGGACATTTGCTCTCAGATAAACAGACAACGCTAATGTTGGATCAACTTGCTTTACCAAATCGCCAAGTTCTTCACTGCATTCAAGCTAAAAAACAAAACAAAGCTTGCTATGCAACGTCGCTCTTTTAAGACTGAAGCTCGATGTCACGAAAACATATTTTGTCTCAGATGTACGTCTGTTTTCATGCCATGTTTCAGGCATCAAACGAAAGATGGTGTTAAGTTTGTTTCATCATTGACAAAAACTTCCTGTTGAAGTAAACTACAAGACAGTTCAGATACAAACTACGTGAGCTTACTGTAGTACTACCTACACTGGACTCCACGTTTGAGATTTCCTTTTCAGGTAGTTGAGACATAAACCACGACAGCTTATTGTAGAATACTACATACGCTGGACTACCACGTTTGAGATATCTTTTACAGGTAGTTCAGACACAAACCTCAACAGCTTATTGTAGAATATTACCTACACTGCAGGACCACCATGTTTGAGAGATCTTTTATAGGTAGTTCAGATACAAACGACGACAGCTTATTGTAGAATATTACCTACACTGGACCATCACGTTTGAGATATCTTTTTCAGGTAGTTCAGACACAAAACACGACAGCTTATTGCAGAATACTACCTACACTGGACCACCACGTTTGAGATATCTTTTTCACGTAGTTCAGACACAAACCACGACAGCTTATTGTAGAATACTATCTACACTGGACCACCACGTTTGAGATATCTTTTTCACGTAGTTCAGACACAAAACACGACAGCTTATTGTAGAATACTACCTACACTGGACCACCATGTTTGATGTATCTTTTTCAGGTAGTTCAGACACAAACCACGACAGCTTATTGCAGAATACTACCTACACTGGACCACCACGTTTGAAATATCTTATTCACGTAGTTCAGACACAAATCACGACAGTTTATTGTAGAATACTACCTGCACTGGACCACCACGTTTGAGATATCTTTTTCACGTAGTTCAGACACAAACCATAAAATACTACCTACACTGGACCACCACGTTTGAGATATCTTTTTCACGTAGTTCAGACACAAACCATAAAATACTACCTACACTGGACCACCACATTTAAGACATACTCTACCTTCTCTTCTTTGAGCCACTTTTCCAGCAGTTGTTTACGTCCTTGTTGCAAGACAGGTTTACAAAGCTCTAGAGATTCGTATTTGTTCAACTGGCCTTGATCCAGTAAGATGCCAAAATATTGAAGCAAAGGAGAGGTCTGGCCGGGTTGAGATGGAACTTGTTGGAAACGTTGGATGGTTTGTGGAGTCCTCAGAATTCCCTGGTGAGAGAATAAAACATGGATTTGCACAACAGAAGATTTGACTAAAACTTATATTGATCAATGGACGACTTGCGCTTTAGACTAAATTTTACTCTAAGTAAGAATAACGAAATCTATCACCACAGCTGGAAAGAGCGTCTTGGAATTAGTAATATTACAAAGTTTGGTTGCGAAATGTTGTAAAATACGGAAAATATAGGCCTTCAAAGTTGGCAAATTTGTATACTTTTGTATTACGTGCGTGAATTGGTAACTAAATTAGTTACCAATTTCCGCACGTAATAGAAATGTATACAAATTTGCCAACTTCGCAGGGCTATATTTTCCGTATTTTACAACATTTCGCAACCAAACTTTGCAGTTTTTCTAATTTTGATAACTTCTTTCAGAAAATATCCTTTGTTATTCCCAGATTAAAAATTTTTCTAAAGCGTAAGTCGTCCACTGATGAAGGCGTTCTTTCGTTAATTTTTCAGAAATATATTAGATGTAAAAACTTGGATACGTCTCCCTTCGCATGTCGACTAGGAATGTTCGGTATGAAAATTTTCTGGTATCGGTATACCGGAAAAATTATACCGATATTATCGGTATACCGGTTTTTCGCCTTTTAAGTTAGATAGGAAAATGCCTTAGTAGAAATTTGAAGGAAATTTGATTTGGAATAATTTCAAAAGTAGAAACACCGTTTATGGTATATACTGTAATTTAGAAGCTGTTGACATTGTCTTTAACACGAAATGTCTACTTCTTATACTTTGCATTTGAGTAAAACAAAAATTGATTATTTCGCCATATGCATGCTGTGTAAATTTGACACGGTATACCGAAAAATTCCGATATATCGGAAATTTCGGTTTTTTGGTATGACTGAAAAACTCATACCGATAAACCGATATTGGTTTCAATAGCGATATTTTCGGTATATCAGTATACCGAACATTCCTAACGTCTTATATTCTAGAAACAGGAGACTTAAAATACTGACCAATGACAATTTTATATCATGATTTAATACGCAGATATTCAAATTTATTAGCCATCAATGCACGCTCTCCTTTCGTGTTGAGAGTCTATACGAACGAACTACGAAGCTTCCTTTTGTTCGAAATATCGTGATGTCTAATCATAGATATCTTATATACACTAGATAGCGCATCTCTTTTATTAAAATTGAAGCCAAGAATATTCCAGCGGTTACCCCCATTTGAATAGATGGCGGCCATATTGGTCGTTCCCACTTGCTAATAAACGTTTAAAAACAACAATAATTTTCATCATTTGAATAGTTTAAAAACGTATTTGGAATAGGGTTAACTTAATGTTTAAGTTCCCTGTTTAAGAAATAGAAAACATACGAATCTTCTCATTTCATGGGAACGACCTGAGACTGCAATCACGGCTTCAATTTTTGAATCGCAGAATAATTAGATGCACTATCTAGTGTATATAAGATAACTATGTGTCTAATGCATTAGGAAGCCTCTATCCTAAATAAATTCTAGTAAACATCTAAAAGTAAGACTCAAACCTTGGGTGCATTAGCAGCGACCTTCGCAGCCTCGCCGTACTGCATGTTGTTGAACATGTTGTTAAACTTTCTCACAAACAATTCTTCAGCGCCTCCCAAGTTGTTCCGCACAGCCACTCGCAAGGCGAGGTCAGGATTTTGAAGCACGTTCGTGATGTATGCTACAATATTTTCTTCATCAACGCTGACTGATAACACCTGAGGTTAAGACATAATTTTAATCGAGGCAGACTGCTGGCAAAGTTAGAAATAATTTTGTGAAACTCGTGAATAATTCATGAAGAAAACACAAAAGAAACACGAGCCTGAAGGAGTTTGTATATCTGATACAAATTTACTTTCAGTTCAATGGATAATCCCAGCTATAGACTAAATTTTGATCTAGGCAAGAAGAACAAAATCCATCACCACAGCTAGAAAGAGCATGTTAAAATTAGTAAAATTGCAAAGTTTAGTTGCGAAATGTTGTAAAATGCGGAAGATATAGTCCTGCGAAATTTGCAAATTTTGTATTATTTTGTATTACGCACGGGAAAATGCGCCACATTTGGGCCGAAAGTGGTGCATTTTCCCGTGCGTAATACAAATTAATACAAAATTTGCAAATTTCGCAGGGCTATATTGTCCGTATTGTACAACATTTCGCGGCCAAACTTTGCAATTTTACTAATTTTTCGACGCTCTTTCTATCTATGGTGATGGATTTCGTTTTTCTTGCCTAGATCAAAATTAAGTCTACAGCTGGAATTATCCATTTTCTCACCACATATCATTCATTCATTCATTTTAAACTGTTGAAGAATATGAATGTTCTTATAAAGACACTTCACAAGTCATTTACAACGTTCGCGTCCGTGAAGTAGAGGCATCGTCCATCAAAACAAACCGTCTGCGAAGCTCGTACTCAGTCAAACTTGCATAATAGTTCCATGTGTATAAATACAACATTAGGTCTAAAACAAATACCTGTGGTTCCGGTTTCCCAAACGACCGTGTTTTTTCTGCCGACCCTATATTATTTTTTCAACACAATTGACCATGCCAGCCTATTTTCTCTGGGTGGTTGCGGGCTGCTCATATGAGCGTGCCCCAAAATTGCCTAAATTCGTCCAAGAATACGCATCTCTAGTTGATATTGATGTCGGGACTCTACTGAAAATCGCCCAAAAAACCCCCGCCAAAACCATGAAAAAAAATTCAAAAAAAATTTATTTCCGACCGACCTACCCTAATTTTTTTTCATGATATGAAACTGGAACCACATGTATTTTCCTTTAGGCCTTAGGTTAACATGAAGTACGTAACAAACTATACCAGTACAAACCTGTCCTTTTCTGTTGACACCAATGATACCATTGCTTGTGTCATGTGATGCTGTGACAAAGATCGTATCACCACTGATACGGTTCATGTAAATACACGTGCCACCCTCGACGTCGTACAGATGGACATAACCATATTTGGTGATTAGGAACACTATGCCATGTTTTTGACTCACCTGGAAAGGGTGTGGTCAGTTCATTAGAGAGGGCGGTAGAAGGGTTGGGGGTGTCATTAGAGGTCAAATTTAGGGGAGTGTTAAGTTAAGGGAATCACTTGGGTATGGTGAGAGGGTTGCACTGGAGTGGGAGAGATGGAGAATGAATTGGGGATATGAATTGTACATTATACAGGGAAGTATTTATAGAGAACATAGTGCAGGTGATATGAAGTGGGAGAAGACAACTTTGATATAAGAGTTAGATATAATACATTTTGCAAGGTGGGAGGTAGAAAGATCAAAGCAGGGAGGGGTGTGTGTGAAACAATGGGGGAGAGGTGGTGTTTGGAGAAAATAATGTGGATGTGGTCAGTTTGGTAGGAGAGAACAACTTTGGGAGTTGAGTAAGGGGGATAATTAGAGAGCAAAAATTGGGGGGTTGGGGGTTTATATGGTATGTAATGGGGAAGCAATAGAGAGTAGAGAGTTGGGTGTGGTAAGCTCATCAATATAAGTCAGGGAGGTGGAGCAGCAGGGTGGATGCCTTTAAAGAGTGATAGTGGTGGTGAAAGGAGGAGTGGAATGGAGAATGGAGGTGGATGGGTGGATCAGAGAAAAAATATCTGTGGATTAATGACAACAGATTGGGCTGCACTGTACCTGCATGGCAACAGGGAAGTCATTTTGAGCTTCAGGTGGAAAGAACACCTCGACAGCTTTCTTTTGGAATGGCTGGTTTCCTGATGCTGGCGTGCCAACTTCAATCACATGTAACTACAAAATACATTTTATCATCTTTGTCACAGAATTTTTAATTCTTTGTGTATCAAACATTGCTTTCACCCTTGCATAGCATACGCAGGTTTCACCAAAGTATGGAGAAATATCGACATTTTTTGGCATCTCGCTTGATAGAACAAATCTACAAAAAGTCTTCAACTATTAGGTTTCACTAAGGGGCCATTCACAAAGGATGTCCGGCCAAATGATGGATTTTCAGACACCCCCCCTGTCTGGCATTGTCCGAATTAGTGACTCCCCCCAGACATCCGCCATGCCTCGCAAAAACACACACAACCTTGTATATGCCAAGAGTAAAAAAACTTTTACTTTTCGAACTTTTTTATAATTATAAATGTATTGAAGGAAAGAATTAGAATATATTATGAAGTGTTCAAAATGCCAATTTCACAATGGGAAGGAGAGTTCAAAATAGAGGAAAAAGATATTTGTTTTTGAATTTTTTAAAATTTCGTACATCCGGATTGCTAAAAAAACCACTCCCCCCCTATGTTCGAGTTTGTCCTGATTTTCCAAACCCCCCTCGGCTCGGACATCCTTTGTGAACGGCCCCTAAGCATTATCGTGCAACAGATGGTGGCCAACCTGCAGTTATCAGAGTGAGAAAATAATGTTCATTCTTCAAATGGTCATGACCAACCACAATGCAATGTGCGCTTTTGTTTATGTTTTTCAGTTACTTTCCTCAATAGTTGCCGCCATTTTTGAGGCCACAAAAATGGCTGCCTCTGGCCCACAACGTAACAGTAACGTAAACAAACGCACGCATTGTGGTTGACCATGACCCTTTAATGAATGCAGCAGCTCCCAGCAGTGTGTGAGAATGTTAATTTTTTTCATTATTTGTAGTAGTCTTAGTGGCAAATAAAAGAATTGAGAGATGAAGATTAATGGACCTATTCCCTAATGAACAACATTTTGATCTAGACAAGTCTAGACAAAAATTTTATCACAGCTTGAAAGAGCATCACAAAATTAGTAATATTCCGAAGTTTCGTTGCAAAATGTTGTAAAATGCGGATAATATAGCCTTGCAAAATTTGCCATTTTTCAGTCATTTTGTATTACGCATGGTAAACTGATACCTTTTTTCAGAAAGCGGTATCAATTTCCTGTGCGTAAGACAAAATGACTGACAAACGGCAAACTTCACTGGGCTATATTATCTGCCTTTTACAACATTTTGCAACGAAACTTCGGAATATTACTAATTTTGTGATGTTCTTTCAAGCTGTGGTGAAATGTTTGTCTAGACTTGTCTAGACTTGTTTAGATCAAAATTTTGTTCATTAGGGAATAGGTCCATTTTCATTCTCCTATAAGTTTCAACATTTCCGATGTTGATCACCATCCGCTGCCATGTATAACATCTACCACCCTGACCTTTCCTCCCTGTGGGCCACGCACTGCAAACGAGAACAACGTTGATTCCTGAGGGTTGCCTTCAATCTTGAACTGTGTGAATGCCGCAGCATGGCCTTCGATAGGCTGGCTCACTTTTCGTTCCACAGAATACAACTGCATTGCACCGACCACTCGATTTTGCTGGCATAGAAGGAAAGTTTGTGAGTAAATTAATCCATTAAGCTACTTTCCTATTTTATTGTCAAATATAGGTTCTTGTTTGGTAATCGCAAAATGTCTTTGTGTCTAAAGCTAGGTATTTCGTGGTATTAAAGCTAGGTATTTCTTGGGTACATTGGCACTGCACACAACTACAAATCATGCACACAACTACAAATCATGCATACATTTATGAAACGTTGATGATAAAGTAAATACTACAGATTTTGGACGTTTGAAGATACAGCCCTTGAAAACCGTCAAAATTGAGGTTGGCAATAAATGCCAACCTAAATCTGACCTAGGTCAGCACGTCTCGGCATTTTTTAAAATCTGTTTCCATGTCTTGGAGCACTAGTAATGATCACTAGTAGATACATCCGCAAGGCAAAAATCTCGAACACGAAAATGTTAGGGAAAGGTGTTCAGTGAGGCTTCTGGTCTATTTTCTATTCTGTGACGAAACCATGCAATATTTTGTGCATTGTTTTCCAAATTTCGTTTTCCAATGCTTCCACATTGTTTTTCAAATCTGTACTAACTTGCGCTTGAATGCCAATAAGCAACAGCCATTTCTGGTCGCGATCCGTACGATAGTTGATGATTTGACAACCTGTCAGACTTGCATGACGATCAAACACTTTCTGTGGCTGCGAATCACCTGGAAAACAGTTTGCAAGCTTCGGTATTAGAGAAAAATCAATTTACAAAATTTGAAGAAAATTTCAATTTTAGAAAGTGCAAGCACCAACTGCAACTGAAAATTCTTGCTAGTTTAGTCTATTGAACATATGATCTGGCCGTCATTAACAATGAACAAACCTTCCATTGACCAATGAAAAACAGCTGCATCAGTTACCAAAGCAACAGTATTGACACTGATCCATTTCCAGAATGTGACGTCTTCTGTCATGTTATGAGCTTTCATCTTACTTTTCATTTCAATGTTGAAAATTTGCAATGTACGGCCAGCTGTAAAACAACATAACTTGGATTATAAAGGCTCAAAATAATGGATGGTCTGTCACTGATCAATGAGGGGAAAAATTTGTTTAAATGGCATCATAGTGATCATACAAATTTGAACAAAACTGATTTTTGAAAAGTAGTGGACCTGTTACAGTCAAATCCGGTGTTCCATTGCCAGCAATATTGTCACACAATGTTGCAATATTGATCAGCTGATTGCTCTAGCAAATTGCAACCGGCACGGACAAATTGCATATTATATTATGAAATTTTGAATTTTGCAGTTGATGGTTTAATACTGTTACTATATGTAAAAATTGCAATTTTTTCGTGTCAGTTGCAATTTGCTAGAGCAATCAGCCAATCAATATTGCGTGATAATATTGCAATGTTGTCCGCAATGGAACACTGGATTTGACTGTAATTACATCTATCTTGTTTTAGGCCAGTGAACGGTGAATTTCGCCAGCGCTAAGAAGTCATTTGACGGGGCTCCATTCACCAGAGGCTGTGTGTAATTCGTTGGTACTTGCAGTCATGACAAGCTGATACTTTTAGCCCAGTCTTGCACTCGGACAATATACCAAATTGACAAAGCTTGCAAGCCTTTGCCCACCACTCAACTCACAGCGCCCTTGAAGCTTCAACCTTCCATTCTTTGCATACTCGCTTCGCTCATCAATTTTTTAGCCAAAGCCTCAGTAGAGCAAAACAGTATTGGCCACACCCAAATTATTATTAGCCAGGACTTCAAACGGATACCTGAAGGGCTGCATTATAATAGCAATTTGCCAGGATTTACTTAGCGTTAAACTTTTAAATATTGAATCAGAAGATTGACAATAAATTACCTTTCAGAGCAATCACTTTAGATTTTGGATTCATGATTGCAGAATCAGCAGAGATTGGACGTCTGATTGGATTGTTTGCATTGTCCATATCAATGATAACCACTTGTGCTGTGTCGCCAATTTTCTCTCGAACACAGATGAACTTATCAGACTCCATTGTGAGAGTCGAAAACCCAATGTTCGCCGCATTAATGCCAATGTTTTGAAGCTGCAAACACATAAAAGAATAAATACACTTTCAATTTATGAAATGATATTTTGGTGTGCAAGATTTCGGGTTTCAACCATGGGTTTATTCATGTGAAAAGAGCAAAGCTACCTTGATATTCTGCCTGGCCTCAGGAATCATACAATCTATTTTTCATGGCTTTGAAGCACTCAAACGAAAGATGGTGTTTGATTGCATATTCATCATTGACCAAATAATATCAAATAGCAAGGAAACAAAGAGATTGTATGACAACATGATATAAAATGGAATTTACTGAGGAGATATAAGAGAGGGAGGCATAAAGTTGCATACCTTCCTGCCTTGCTCAAGGGGTACTATTTACTTTTTATCTGAAGAAAAAACTGCCTTTATGATTTTGTTGATTCCTACATAGGCTACTTCACCCCAGGTAGGCAACCTGTGACTTATGCCAAACAATTTTCGTTTGGTGCTCAGGCATAAAAAAAAATACATGTGGTTCCGTTTCACAACCGACCCTACTTTTTTTCTGCCGACCCTATTATTTTTTCAACGCAATTGACTGTGCGACCCTATTTTCTCCAGGTGGTTGCGGGCCACTCGTATAGCGTGCCAAAATGGCATCTGTTGCCACACTAAGTATTGAACCAAATTGCCTAAATTCGTCCATAGGAAATAGGCATCTCTAGTTAATATTGATGTTGGGATTCTACTGCAAATCGCCCAACAAAAAACTGCCAAAACCATGAAAAGAATATTCAAAAAAAAATTTATTTCCGACCTACCGACCCTAATTTTTCACGATATGAAACCGGAACCACA